GTAAAAACGTTACGGGACTTTTTTGTAGTTTATTCTATTTCAAATAAAAAAGGTGGTATTATATTTTCTCTTGAAACAAGTAGTTATTGAGATAATTCCAGGTTAAATAAAAGTGAAATTTTACTTCACCGATCTCGAGGTATCGGCACTTGAAATTCACAATTTTTCACACATTTTAGTTCCTCTCAACTCAGTATTGTTATCAATGATTTATACCTTTTTTATCGCGTGATAACGGTCTCTGCATGGGTCCAGAGCTGTCACCGGGCAGGTGATACGTGTGATTATGATGAATGTGTTCCAATGCTGTCCTCCCTGGTATTTGTGGAACTGCCAGAATAAAAATCAAATGAAAAATGGAGAAAAAATTATAAAAATAATTCTGCAAAAGTGCAACCCACCAGCTTGATGGCGCGAGAAATCTAGACTGCAGCTGTATTTCAGCTCAGATTGGGGTCCAGCAGCTCCTTCAATGGGTCCAGAGTAAGCATTTCCAGGGGGTCCAGCACCCACCGTGTGCCCCTCATATTCATATTTAATTGGAGTCGTTGGATGAGGACTGGCACCCAGCAAAGATCCTGCGCGATTAATCACCATTAATATCCACAGATTTCCCCAAACCTATGGCCTCTAGAAAAAAAAGTCATCAGACTTTTTTGTAGCTTCCGAAATCCCCGACAAAAAAGTCTTCTGACATTTTCCTCTAGACCCACTGATTCCTCGAGTAATCGTTCAATTCAAATTAAGTATAAAAATTCACCTGGCCCCTGCTCCTGGAAGCATCTCTTCCCAAACATCTGGTGCTTCTTCTGGGCAACCGGAGGCACTCGATCAGCTTGACACCGTGGAGATCCACCGGTTCTCCCTGCTATCGAGTAATTGCAGTCGTATGGCATACGATATTTACTGGAATTAATTTAAATAATTAATACACGTCCAGCAGCTCCAGTTGCTATTTTCATCATCAATTTATGGTGAATAAATATTCCCTTTCAATTATTTATTAAGTAAATCACTGGAGGACTGAGCATTCGGCATTGGGAAGCTGTTGGGAGGGGATTAAAGGGATTAATTAATAATTACCTTGCGTAATCCATGGAATAATGGGTATCAGGCTGTGTGTGACTTGAGTTTGATCCAGTCTCCATCCACTCACCATCGGAGAGGGGTCCACGTTCACTTCCCATACTACTGACAGCACTGTCACTTGATGCATCCATTCTCTCATCTGTCACACCACCTAGGGATGTCACAACACCTGATCCTCCATTATTGCCACCACCCTGGACTCCAGGAAGTGCAGCTGCTCCTGTTGGACCTGATGCATTATTGCTGCTGTCCAGCATTCGCATCGAGTACATGCCTTTAAAAAATCAACAAAACAAAATATTTAATAAATATTCATTTAAAACCACGTGATATATAAATATTCATGAATATTATACAGTAATTCATTAAAATGTCAAAACCTGAAATTAATTATTGATGGAATAATGAATGGAAAAATTATAAATAAATTGAATTTGAGAATAAATAATTGGGAAATTAGACAATTAGAAAATTAGAAATCGATGGATTGATGATTTTTTGAATAATAGAAGAAATTATTATTATTATGGAGATATATTGTTTGTGAAAATTACGGGAAATGGGGAAATTGGGGAATTAATTATTTAATTGGAGAGGGAAAGAAGGAATAGGTCGAGGATGATGAGGAGACATTGAAAATATTTATTAGTAATTTGTAATCATTAGAGAAATATTATTTCATTCGCGATGACTCATCAACACGAGCGGCTCAACTAAATTAAATGAGACCCAGTTAGCAATAAATTTCCGCTGACGTGTACTGGCTATTCCTGGAAAAAATCCTACGAGAACTCAACTCCTTGGCGATTGTCTCCGTGACGGGTATCAGGTGTCAAATCCCCTAGAATCTCGTCCCGACGTAGCGTAATTTGTTCAGGAATTCAGGTCTCGTGTCTCGAGTGCCTGAATATAATCCAATCCCGTGATAACTCATCGATAACTCCAGTTCGAATGGTTTTACGGGAAAATGTCATAAGACTTTTTTATAGCGTGTGGAATTTTCAATAAAAAAAGTCTTCTCACATTTTTTTGTAATTCCAGTAATTCCGGGTTAATTGAGGGTTACGTGAAATGTGTGAAACGTAATTGCTAGGAATTCTTCGATTTGGTAATTTTTTTTTTCTCATTTGCGGATGTATCTCCGAAACTGTAGTTTGGAGAACAAAAAGTCGTTAGACTTTTTAATAGCTGATGGAATTTCCAACAACAAAGTCCTCTGACGTTTCCTCGCAATTCCACACATTCCGGAGATAATTGACAATTACGCGAGTCGTGGAGAATGCAATTTTCATAAATCTTCGGATTCGATGATTTTATTTATTTGCAAATTGCGGATTGTGGGGGGGGGGAGGGGGATTAGGATTTGCAGAGGGTATCAATGACATTCTCTGATGACTAAGCAATAGTTACAGTCACACGATAACGAACGGAATTGATAAATCATGCATGAGATATTGGCACATTGGCCCGAACGATAAAAACACGCATCCGCATATTCATACATCCGGTAATATCCTGAGGTTAATTAGCAGTTAAATAAATAAGAATTGATACAGAAGAAGAAGGTGATATCATAATTCAATATCACCCTGATAAAAAAAAAATATTCCGGGTAATTCACTAAATTAACTCACGACGTACTACTTCACGTGTTCGCTTTACTGAGTCTTCGATAAATATCCGCGAATGTATCGCAAATATCGAAATTTTCGTAATTACATTTTTTGCAGATCGTAATTTTTTCTCGAAAAAAGGTCATTACACAAAATTCGTTATCTCCCTTATATCCCGAGATATTCACGAAAAATTGATGGGAAGTCTAAATCGATTTACCGATTTCTTACTTGATTGAATTTAATTTATTAAATTTATTTGGAAGAAGAATTTTGGGGAGATTTTATCGAGAATTGATTGACGATTGGTTTTGGTAATATATATTGGTGGTGAGGATAATATTTGAGATTATTTATTCTGCTACTTGTATCAGCGGGAAAAATTCCGGTTTTCATCGGGTCTTGACTGACGATTCGCCGGTTTTCATTCATCAGCTTCATGAATCCATAAACAGGCAACACGTACACGTCGTAAACATTTTAATGGCGCAGCGATGACTTGACAATTTTGTGCACCCGATATCGCGATTAATGCGATATTGATTATCTAACATGGATAAAATGTTATTGATTGAAAGATCTTGAAATCCCGCCACCAATAAAAATCAGTACAAAATCAGCGATATCTCCTCTCGCAAAGAACCGATTCCAAAAAATGACTGCTCACTTTGAAGCTCTCAAAAAAACCCTCAAGACTCGAAGAATGCTCGTGACAATTCACTCAGCCAATCTCGAGATATTCCCGATCAAAAATGAGAGTGTCGGGATGAAAAAATCGGTAATCAAAAAAATTATCACCTCAAGGCAATGGACGATATCTCGTCTCTCAGGGATGGGATTTTGATGAATGATATCTCATTTTGAAGCTCTCGAAAACCCTCGGAAGTGCGGTGAAACTCGTGGATATTCACTCAGTCGATTTCGAGATATTTGGGATCGAATATCGACCCTCCACCTTGAACTCGATCCCTCGAATTTCCCTCGTCACGAAGATCAAGTAATTGACCTTCATTAATTATTTTCGGTATTTAATTATCACAAAAAGCACCTACTGGCACTGTAAACGATAATTCCCATGGTCGCCATTCAAAAATTCACTGAGAAATATCCACTAAATTCACATTAAACTAAAAAAATCACACCACCCGATTTTTTTTTCATTCTCGCTAAAGTCGTCAGTCGAACACAACAGATTACTCAAAACTTTATCTTATGATAATACGATATCATTCACAAGGAAAACGACACGCGCAGAAAAAATGGCAGACGTCGTAGCGCAAACAAATTGAGAACCAATGAAAATCACAATCCGATCTCCACTAATTATTCCCATATCGAATCATCAATTACAAATTCCACCGGTCAACTATAACCCATAATTAATTATAATTACATCAATTACGAGTCTCAGTTGTTCATCGATTTAATTTTAATCTTGCACTAATTCATTGATTGATTTTTGTTGATTATCGATTATTTGTTATGCCGATTTCACGAGATCGTCAGTTAAATTTTTATTTTCATTGACAATTGATTTTTAGGGGAGGTTCTTTTTTAATTTATTAATTAACTATTTTTGGGGCGATCGGTGTGTCGGAACGTCCGATCGATTCGAAGCTCCGCGGGAAACTACGCGCAGTTCTCGTGCGACTACCGATGGAAACCGTCCATTGGAGCGCTAATTTATTCGTTAATGAATTTTGAGAACTTACGATTAATTAACGGTGGAAAATGTAAATAAATAATGGGGCATTTCAGGTTTTTTTAATTTTCTCATGGAATTGAATGGTTGCGGGTTAACGAATTTTGTTAATAACTCGGATGAATTGGATAGTATCATCGAGGTTTCTTTTAATGACTCATTGACTCAATGACTCCATTCTGTCATGGTCATATGTTTGCGAGTATGTAGTGGTTTTTCAGTGGAGGAAAACGAAATCAGAACTCATTCCCGCGGTTTTCATGCGAATTCCTCAGAAATTAATGGTTTTACAGAAAAATGTCATCTGAGTTTTTTATTGGGCGATTCATTTTCGATATTAAAGTCCTTTGACGTTTTTTTATTATTTTCATTATTCTAGGAGTAATTGACAATTACGTGAAAAATGGTATGTTTGGATATCGGAAGTTGAATTTTTTTTTATTTGGCTGATTATCTTCAGAACTATGTGTGGTAGAGTAAAAAGTTATGGGACCTTTTTTGTAGCCCATGAAATTTCCCCAGAAAAAAGTCCTATAACATTTCTCTGTAATATCATGCTTTCTGAAGTTTATTAACAGTTACAAAACACGTGGAAAATGTAATTCATCAAATACTTCAAATTTGAAATTTTTTCTTTTTCTTATCTATGCAAATATCTCCAAAACCATGAATTTTCGAAGAAAAAGTGATAAGACTTTTGTTCTACCCAATTAAATTCCTCACAAAAAAGTTCCCCATCATTATTCTCTAAACATTTCCATTTCCAAAATAATCCCCGTGGAAATGAGAAATTGAAAAAAATCACTTGATAATCAATCGCAATTGGAAGTGAACGTCTAAATAAAAAATTCCAACGGCATGAACGTAAATTGCGTTATTCTATTATTACAGATGCTATACCCGAGAGAGTATGAGTCACTCCCTGGCAAAAGATTGTGAAATGTTAAGTGTCACGAGCCGAATCGCATCCAATGGCAAAAGACATTGAGACCATGCAATGAATGTTATGTATACCGGACACTTACGACCATTTAATACTCATGCACGTGTTTTTACGGCCCCTCCAATTCGTGTCCTCCAAATCCACCCACGTCATTTGCTCACTAATTAATAAATTGATTAATTAATCAAATCACCCACCACTTGAGAAATTCGAATTCAAAAAAATGGCGCGCAGTTGAGATTTTGAAAAAATAAAAATCAATTAATTATTATAATTCGTACGATCATCAGAATTAATTAA